CCCGGAAGTTTTTTGGAATCTTCTTTTTCCCCTTTCCGGGGGTCTCGGGGGTTAGGTTTTTCTCATAAAAACCTTTATTTTTTACCCCCGGGGAGTTTATTCGGTTTGGAGGGGGACATAAAATACCCACCGGGGTCCACCCCCACACCTTGTTTCACTGGAAAACTTAGGTAAACTTTCCTTTTTCCTTTCCCCCCCAAACATCAGCTTTCCCCCAAAGGGGCCGCCACTTTTTCTTCTTTTCAGACCCGGAGGATCTTCTTACAGTAGGTAGTTTTTGTTTTTTTTTCCCGGTTTCACCAGTTGGTGGGCAGGCTTTTTTGGGGGGGAGGGGAACGGGAACATGAGGGCCGGGGGGTTTTTGGCGGTCAGGCCGCTCCCCCCCAGGAGGGCTTCTTCCCCAGGGGCGGTGGGGCCCTGGCCCTCTTTTGGCCCGGACAGGGGGATTTGGTTCAAAGAAATTTGTTCCCGGGGGGGGGGGGGGGGGGGCAGCAACACCACCACGTGAAGTTATCACCCTCAGCGGAGCAATATCCCTCCTCACCTCCGTGAGATGTTGTCTTTGTCTCTGGCCTAGAACAATGGAACACCCTACACAGAGGATTTTCAAAAGGAATCCAACGTTTTTCGCACTGCAAAGGCTGACGTCTTTTCATTGGTCAGCCGGTGGGAGCGCTGTCGAATGATCACACCCGGAGCGCCCTGAGCTATGATGGAGAGAGCCGTGTGGAGAGTGAAGAATAGTCGGACGGAGAGCGGCCAACTGCACGGAAAACAGCGCAGGAGGCGTGCTCAACAGCGGTGTCGTTTCTTCTCCTCCCAGTAAGAGCATTTTTTCACGCGAGAGAACTGGTAGACCCCGTCCAGGGGAGCCCGCGGATCGAAACGCTCGTCCGCTTTTTCTTTTTGCCCGCGCTCTAACGTGGTTATAGTGAGTCAGTCAGTCATGAAGAGTTATACGGCCCGCACTCAAGAACCTCTTTCTTTTTTGTCGAGACCTCTCTATGGGGCAACCTTAGCTCCCAGGTTCTCAAGCGCGGGCGATAACTGCCGCGGTCCATTCGCAGCTGTGCCTGGAAAAATACAAGCACCCAAACCGACACACGCACCTTCCGAGGACGGTGCCATCTGATGGGGACACTACATCCAGGTAGGTTCCGGAAAGCGGGGGGGTGCTCTCTCCGCCGATCAAGTTGTCGCAGACGACGACTCCCGCCGGGGGGGCGCCCTCTGTCTTGAGCCTGTAGTGTAGAGGCACCGTGCAAACAGCGAGCGTGAGGGCAGGAGGGAGGGAGGGAGGGAGGAACGAAAACGAGGGAGAAACCCTTGTGAAAAAAATGAAAACGATTGGACATTTTGCAGGCTCGTGTTGCACGGCAGCACTCGACCCACTCCCGCTCAGATAGTTGTGATTCTCTCCTCGATCAAGAACATTTGTGCACAAGATGCGCGCATGCCTCGTCACTCACAGCTGCAGATACTTCCTACAGTATGTAGACGACGTAAGATATCACACCCCAGGGAAAGATAATCAACCCTCGACTCCTACCACGTCGAAGAGAAAGTCTACATCACATGATCCGTTCCCGAAATGTTTCCAACACCCGCCCTTCTCGGCACCTCCGCTCTTTGTGCTCGTGGAGTTGTCGAGCTCTGAAAATCGGGCAATAAAAGGGGTGTGATATCTTCTGTCCCCAGCCTGAAGTCTACAGCTGTAGAGATCCAACACGAACTCAACAAGCTATTTCGGCGGCGATAACGAAGTAGAGCTGGACATCAGTGTCGCTGTCAGAGATCGGGACCATTCGTATGTAGCCAGCAGCAGTGCCTCGCAAGTGCAAGCAAGGCAGGCCCGGGTGGGTCGAAGTGCACATGAGAGCTGGCGAGAGAGAGCTCTCGGCAAGATGGCCTCCCAAGCATCTCGACCATGGCACACACACCCGTCCGCGGGCGGTACGGCAAGACGTGCTGGACTGCAAGTTCGAGAGTGACCAGCGCAAAGTGCACTATCACGCGGACACCCACACGTACGGCAACATACAGTCAGGTCGGGCAAAACAGAGGATCCTCTTTCTGTACAAAAAGCCACCGCCGGTGCATCCGTGCATACACTGCGGGGCCTGATTCCTTCACGAATAAAGGCAGCGCGGGGTGATGTCACCTGGACGGGTCACGATTCTGGATAAAACACCGTGACTCTAGGGCAACCTCGATGCCGCGATTGTTCTCCGCTCACCTCTTCGCATTAGGTGCCATCCTACAGCTAAGGGTGGTAGGTGACAGCGGGTGGTGTGTTGTCTACAGCAGTACAGTGTGTGACAAGAGCGAGCAACGGGGGCGCCGCGATTTCATAGCACCTGCCCATTTGGGAGACCTCGTAGATTTCATAGCACCTGCTACAGGAGTATAACAATCAACAAGTTTCACACCAACAACCGTGCGGTTTCCACCGGTGGCCGTGTTGTATACGCGCAGGATCTCTCTTGGCGGCATCCTCCCTTCTTTCCATAAGCCCATTCGGGCCCATCGATCGTGTGACAACAATGAAGGTCAATCTCAAACGTTGGACGGCCGCAGGATCGTTGCTTTGCCTGCTGGGCGCAAGCAGTGCGCACGGGAGCTGCTGCGAGCGGACGCAGGTGCGCTCTCGGACAAAAGATCTTGCTCAAAATCCGCGTCTCCAGTAGCTCGTGGCCCATCCGTACATTGACGAGGCTTGAGGATACAGCACTGAACGAACCCAAGGCGGGTGTTACCGTAAAAATGGAGACATGGACAGTTTGCTTGCTGAGACTACTGATGCCACTTCACGTACATGTAGCAAAATAACGTGTCTTGCATCCACACCAGCAGCAGCAGCCATCTTCAGGCGGCATGCATGATCAACACCCCTCTGACCCCAGCCGTGAACAAAGATATTAATTACGCGTGGTAAATTTGAACTAGAACGCGTGTGTGATAGGTTAGAGTGGCTATCCCGTACATCCGTAGAAGTACAAGTACGTAGATGTATTGGGAAACAAACACAAACACGGCACGACTGTGTTGTACCCGTTCGAGATACCCGTAAGAGTCGGAGAGATGGCACCCCCGTGTTAGCGTTTTGTATAGCGTATTTCTCCACAACCAGGGTGGTACCACTGCCGAAAAGGGTAGTTTTGGAAACATCTCGTCGAGGGCTTTCCTGAGAGGTATCGGTTGGTGTTCGCACCCTCCTAGTTGTGGAGAAATACGCTACAAAAAAACGCTTTACACTCGGAGGGCCGTCTCTCCGACTCTTACGGGATACCCACAGTCGAGGGAAATCGACTGGGTACTGGGCTTATTTCGAGTCTGTATGTAGGAGGCCAGTTCGGTCCACAGACTATTCAGGAACGTTTCAGATACATCAGTATAATCGAGGTAGTAGTTCTTCTTTCTCATAGTGTGGGATTCACCGTGGCACCACCTTGCCGGGTCGATGTCTGCCATCCTCCCATACTCTATATCCCAAACTGTCTCGGGTAGAAGCATTTCTTTCCTATGTCTTTAATTAGGTTGTTCCTTCTAGTTTTCCATAAATCATTCAAAGCATCGGTGATCGACCAAAAGCCGCCAAATGTCGGCTTTGCTCACTCAAAGAAAACTCGTTGAGCTCTCTATACTGTGCCTCTGTTACCCCTTGCCCTCGCCCTCGGAATCTGGCGTCACTACCTCCATCAGCCACATATATCTCCATGCCGTCTGCGGTTTTTCCAATAGGCCCTCACCATAATGGATGAAAGAGAGAATCTCCTGCAAATGCCCATGAAATCGCTCCTCCCGACCGAAACGAAGTCAAAGAGAAATCTTGCCGCTCCCCTGCTCGCTGAGCATACATGCGGAGCGCAGCTTCCATGCACTACTGTGTCGTGACCACCTTCGAATCTCTTACGGACTTTCCCTGCTTGGGTTCCTAGCCAACGGAAGGAAACAAGTATCCCTTCGTCATGTCCCACCCCACGCATGTTGCTATCTCGACCAAATGTCCCACTCCTCGCGCTCGACATTCCGCCATGCGTTGCAGGACTACTCCTACCGTAGTAGTCGGGGGAAAGCAAAATCTAAAACATGGATCGTCTGATCCTGCGATCTTACACAGGTCCTGTCCTAAGACGTACATTTCCTGGCATCCTTCTGCATGGAATCGTGAATATAGTGGGAGAGGCCTCGTACTCCCGGGGATCCTCTAAACTGAACCGAAGCCGGAGTCGCCATCCAATCCATGTCAAAAGTTCGTCCCGCTCATCGGCAGATTTCCTCGAATTTTTCCCCTTCTAATCGTGTATGCGCGTCTGCCTCTTGCCCAAACAAATCGGCAGCTTCTGCAATCGCTGCTGAAGGCACCGACTGTAGCTTGAGCGTGAACTAGCGTTGTACTTGGGGCCAAAACAAGTCTGAGATAATTTCGTGCATCATAATATCCTTGTATCCTTGGCCCTGCCTCGCTTCATCGCGCGAAAGAGGACGGTATTGTCTACGTCTACGAAGATCGTCGTACCCTGCGCTTGTTCGGACCTATCTCCACAGAATAACGTGAGAAGTTGCTGCAAAGCGTGTTCTTCTTGCACTTTGATGTGTGCCGTGACTAAGTGTTCCGGGAATCTCCCGCAGTCTGAAACACTTCTACCCCTAGGCATCGGATCAGTCCTCCCCATCCGGTAGAAGAAGCATCGGAAACGCCTGCCATAATGAGTCGCTGGTGTATGGCCTCATGCCACGGTGCTCCCTTCACCCTGTCACGGACCTCTAACCACTTGTCCATCTCAAACCTCAGGCCACCATTAGGGGCAATAACCATATCGATATTCTCCGTCCGCCCTCCCGGGCGCTGAAACTAGCCGATCTACTTGCGTGTGATGCGTGCGCAGCCTGGCCGCTGGGCATGCCGCAGATGTGCTAGTGCATTTCCCCGCTACCTTTTCTAACGTTGGGAAAGCAATGAACCCTTGCGAGATGACTTCGTCGATGAGCTCTTACAACTTGCCCAACTTCTCCGCTGGAATGGCGAAATGCTGTGCGACGGAGTCTGATCAGCACCCAGAGGAAAAAACTTCTGGTAGTGGGATCTAGCTCGCACTTGGGGATCGACATCAAATATCTTGCCTTTTGAAACGCGCTCATCACCAACTACCCCGCTGCCTGAGCCGCCTTGAATCGCTCCTCTGAAGTGAGTGACATGGTCGGTATGAAGTTCGTGAAGTAATAATCATCTATCCACGTCAACACTGGGAGGTTGACACAAGTAACCGGCCACAGCCTCTGATAGTGAGTGACAGATGAACGCAGAGATTTTCCATCCAAAACATAACGTCATGAAGACGTAGTATTCCCCGTTCCGCTGGAAACTAAAGTACTGCCAAGAATCCTTCGCGAGCGGTACGGCGTGGAAACCCGCCTTATGGCCACACTTCATCTGGAACGCTCCTTCCCACGCACATTGGGCCATCTTGCTGACCCCGTCCATGGGGGAATGTCCAGTCCTTCACCATCAGGTTCAGGAACCGTGCATCAAACGTCATACTAGGTTTTAAAGGCTCTACTCCCCGCAACGCTACCATTCGTGGCTTGTGGTGAATCTCGGTATCGGCTACCTCTCGCCAAGGCACTACCACCCCCGTTCGGACATAACCGGCGATCGCATACTCTACGAAAAAAGGGTGGTGTTCGGTAGCCACGTGATTCCGCAACTCAACCGGTGTGAGAACTCCTCCTTTGTAAGAGGGTCCTTGGGAAACACCTGTGGCTGTCTCATCCACAAAACTCGTGATCGTTCGCTCCTCTCAACCAACCCAGCCACATCTGCTGTTGCTCGACCGGGGCACGCGGCGAGGATCTCTTGTTCCCAAAAACTCGACCGCGCATGACACATGACCTGGGAAAAAATCATCGGCATCCCACGTGTGGGTGCAACCCCTGCGATGATCGAAGGCTGTTCAGCTTACAATACGCCTCTGTTGAGGTCGTCGGCTGGATGCTTAAAAAAATGGTACTCGCTGGTTTCATTCCCGCTCATTGAGCGAGTGCGTATGTTCGCCGTCCGTCTCACTCGTTCCAGCAGAATAGCTCTGCTTCTGGGCCGACCTGTATCGTTCAAAAGTATAATTGAACAATCGTTATGTGATAAACGCCTCCACGAGTTTCTAATGGCCATATGGAACACGCTGGCCCGAACTACTTCTTCCACGAGGTCCTCGCTCCAAACCGCCGAGCAAGTCCCCATCAAGATTGAACGAGGTGTACAGGTGACAGCTGATTGCTACCTACGGTGCTTCGGATAGACAGATCCAAAGGGGGGAAGTATTTGTGTGATGATTCTTCTGCTTGTTTGTTTTTTTTGCGAAAGATTCCGCCTCCAAAACGCAAGCCGTAGCGGGCAAGCCCCTGATTACCCCTTTTTAGAAACGAAAGGGCCACCGCGTATCAAGGGACTGTTACCTCGCCTCATTTCCTTGTGTAGAGCGACAGGAATCACATCGTCTTCATCGACCTGATTATCATCTGAACCCCATATCTCCGAAACCGTTGTTTCCACCAAAGCTCAATCACGAGTACCCTTCTCGAACCTTTCTATCTTCCCTATGAGCTGGGACAGATTTTCTTGGCATGCCCCGGTTGCTGACAGTGGAACAAAATCGCGAAAGGGCATAGGCTTCCCCTGACCCGGACCCCTACCGCCACCTCCGCGGCCGCCTCCCCCGCGGCCGTAACGTCCCGGGGCGCCATATGGGCTCGCCCCTCTGCCTTCGCCCCTGTGTGAACGTTGAGGGCCTCTGCCCCCCTGATGCGACCGAAAGAACTGCGGCTGTCCAAACACCGGGGGTTGGTGTTGGACGAACCCCGAGGGGTCCACCCCCCCTTGCATGGGCGACATTCCCATGGGCGCACCTCCCCACGCCCCATTGAACGCTGATTCTCATGCTGCCGGGTTGAAAGCGGATCCCCGCGCGGGGGAACATGCTTGGGGTAAACCTACGACGTTCTTCAAGACTGAGAACTCATCATCCATGTGCTTATCGTTTATCTTAGTGCCATCTTCGCATGACTCTAGCAACCGGTCCCTCAACCAAAAGGACCGCCAAGACAGATTGATTGGTGTTTCCTGCCTTCTTGAGGCCACCCTGAACATCGATCAGTTGCGTGACTTCCTCACTGAGCTCGGGCCCGAGCTCAGTGGCCCGAGCTCAGTGAGGAAGTCACGCAACTGATCGACGTTCAGGGTGGCCTCAAGAAGGCGGGAAACACCAATCACCCAGTCTTTGCAGCCCTGTGGTTGAGGGACCGGTTGCTAGAGTCGTGCGAGGACGGCACTAAGATAGACTTGTAGTAAGCCCATGAATGAGGAGTTCTCAGTCTTGAAGAACGTCGTAGGCTTACCCAAGTATGTTCCGCCGCGGGGAGCGGGTCTCAACCCTGTAGAATAACATCAGCGTTCAATGGGGGGTGGGGAGGTCAGTGGTGGCTACGGTTTAACCCTCCCAGTACTCAGTCCCTCCGCAAATTAGAGACATGTCGGCAAAATGTTTGTCAGCCATTGGCCGAGGGGCAACAGTCCCTCCAAAAGATCTGAGGTCCTTGCCAGACAAAGGTTGACTTGGCTTCAGTATGAAAAGTGTCCCCTACTAAGCCAAGTCGGCAAATGTTTTCAGTACCAGGCGATGTACAGTTTCACGCAATTTCATGACCTAGGGGGCACGCGGGTTGAGAGAAGTGTACCGTAAGTCAGAGGCCCAGGAGAGGCATCACACAGCATATCACACAGCGTATGCATACCACCTCAGCCAAGCATGATAGACCAAGGGTTCTCACGTGCGTTTCACACAGCGGAGGCTAGGGTAACTACGGTGCGGTAACATAAGCTTTTGGGTGATGTGTCCTCCAAATGCCCCCATTTTGGGCTTCCAGTACTAGAAGGGTCGAGAGAAGGTCGAGACAAGCCAATATTTCACTCTTTAATCCGGTTTTCTCTTGGCCGGTTTATAAGACAAGTCCCCTGAAACTGTAGCCAATGAGAAGGTAGGGCGTTTTAGAGCGGATGTCTTGCCTACACTGCCATGTGAAGATGCTCATGATGGAGGACATGAAATAAACCGTGTTAAACACTGCGCCAGCGCCTTGTTGTGTTGCTTGGGACACACTACGTGGCGTGAACAACGTAAACAGCGAGCAAGTAAAGTAACCCCCACGAAAATTTTCGTGAGTCTTTAGTCTCAAATTCGGACGACGAGCTCGATCAGTGTGAACAAGGAGAAATGGGTGGCTCCTCGGGGGCAGCCCTAGTGCGTCCGCCATTGTACTTGGGGGTAGCAGAACACTACTACTGTATTGTTGTTTACTCGAGGATAACGCCGAGCAAGAAGTGCGGCATGCACAGCGCCACGTTTGTAAGGCCAAGGTGGCCTGGACAAAGCGAAAATCTTGTCAAGGAAAGAAAAACAGACGTGCACGAGAGAGGCTCAGCGTAACGTGGCACAATGGTAGGAGATAATTCTACGGCCGGGACCGGGGGGGCGCACGGGCAGCTAGCTGGGTCGCAGACACGGTGCATCTCGTCGCTGTCGCCATGCGGGTCGACCACACCAAACCTATGGAGTTAGCCCCCACAGACGCTACATTGGTGGGTCGTGTAGTCTGCCGGGCCTGGCGTGTGATCGGAAAACTCAAGCAGCGGCCGCCCGCTGCTCAGGGATTGGTATTTTCGGTTTTGGGTGTGTATAATGTGCGCTCTTCCTCCGTCACGGGTTCGATTAAAGAGAATACGGCTGGATAAAGGCATTTTTTCTCTTACATCGGCCAGAGGCGTCACAATCCTGTAGCCACCACTGTAGGCTCTTCCCCCGGAGGTGTTTTATTTTGTTTCGGCATTTCACGGAAAGCGACGAAATATATTGGTGCAAAAACCTTTTCGGCGACGTTCGGTGCTTCCAAATATTTCTCTGTTAGGTGTCTAGTCGTGAAAATATTCGGCGATAAAATGCAACGTCAACTGCGAAACGGTTTTTTCTTTTTCGGCATTTTTTTTCTGAAATCGGTGTTTTTGGAGATCGCCTCCGGGGAAGAGCCTAGTTTCAGGCTAAGCATGGCTGTTTTCCCATTTTTTCCTACTCAATGTGTGCCTTCTTGCAATGGACGTGCGTGGCCTCTCGATCACATGTTCGGCAGTTCAACGTAGCTGTGGCAGTTCTTGACGCCGATGGCATAGTTCGGTTGATCCTAAACGTCCGTCATCGCTTGTTTATCCTGGGCGGCTGTTCTCTCCAGAAGTGCAAACACCGCCACATGCGTGGCCGCGCGGGCTTTCATTAGTCAGGACGGAGAGAACTGCTCAGAAAATTGGTCAGCAAGAAGAATCTCACGGTGATACCGCAAAGCAATGCGAATTGATGACCCCAATACATGAATGTGGTTTCGAAGCTGTTGACGTATGCATTCTTCCAACACCGTTTTCTTCTCGCCGGGTGGGTTCAGATATGGTAGCATGTATTACCACGCCGTACCCGATCGCGCTGATGCTCCTCGCCATTCCCCTACTCGCTACGTTCCCCGCCCGCTCTGTCTCCGCCTGTCCTGCCCCGATCCACACGCAACCGCGCGGTTCGGCGAGAAAGGTGAACATGCTGGAGGCACCGCCTCACGGGCACGCCAAGCAGTCTCCGACAATTCCCGAGTCCTCCCTGCCGGACACGTTCGACTGGAGCGACGTGGATGGGGTGCGTTCACCGAGGGGTTTGACGAGTGCACTTGCTCCCTAGCATAGCGCACCCGCCAACGGCCCTGCCGGGTATCGGAGTGAGTCGTCACTCGATCTTCCCAGCTATTTAGGCTAGTACCTCTCAAATTTCGCGTGTTGTCGAAGGCAGAGTGGTTCCGCTGATCCCAAGGCGATGTCAGGACCCACCTCGCAATTCGTCTAACAGCGTGATGGAATCCTCTGTTTCGTTGCCAGGACGATGCCTTACCCGAATTTCCGTAGACCCGAGCCTGCTGTTTTCATTTTCTTGTGTTACAATATCGCGCCATCCTCTACTTCTTGACACTTTACGCCCCTGTGGCTGTGTGGATGGTCGGTACGCAAGGAACATGTGTTGACGCTTTATTGACGCTGCTCTGCTGATGGGTGCTGGGTTTCCTGGTCGGTCTGAAACCACCGCCGCTGATGACGCTGGTACAGAGGAGCTACCTGCTGCCGAGCTGGAACCAGCACATCCCCACATGTGCGTACACAGCAACGGAGACGATAGAACTCTGCGCCCTTTCTCCTGTGCCATGCCCCTCTGTTGCTTACAGCATAGCTTTTGCGCCCATCCGTTCGGGCTGAAACAGAGTGACTCGGCACCTATACTTTACGAGCAACTGCCCTACACGACGGTGTGGTTTGTGGTCGGGGTGCGAACGTGCCGAACTTCGCACAGCTCCAGCCCAGCGTTTTGTGAAAGGAAGCTTGCAAGCACAACTACCAGTATTTTGAATCTGCGCATGAGTCGACGAGAATCGTTTCTTGGTTGATGCAGCACAGCGTGGACGCGTCGCCGGGTCGCCATGTGTGACCCTCGTTCGGCGCGGACCCCCCACGTACGTATGACGTCTTATACGGTTGCAAGAGCGCTGAGGCCACAGTTGTCTAAGAAACAGACCCATCGAGGGGGGATTGAAAAGTTGTCAAGAGGGCTGTTCAGAACACTCCACACCGTATGATCGGACTGTGCCAAGCAGCAACGGCGCCGGTTGTACTGCGTAGGACGAATATCATCAGTACTGTCCCGTTTCTTGTCGGTCGCCTTCCAACGTTTCACCACTCCCGCCCCATACCTCGGTCCCCGCGGGGCCACGCAGACTGCGGCTCCTGCTACGTGCACGCGGCTCTATCGGTGGTCCAGGACCGCATCAAGGTTGCAAAGGGGGGGCGACCTCCAGACGTCATGCTCGCCAGGCAGTCGTTTATCAATTGCGGGTGAGAAGGAGGAGCGTTGGTGAACGCGCGGGCATTCCTCCGTGAGAGGGTATGTTGACAGTTGGGGGCAGAGTTACCCAGCCAGCCGCCCGCCCGGCCACAGCCGGACATGTTATGTTCTTGGCACGCAATTAGTGATAGCGCGGGGGACCCGCTGCCCCACTACCTCCTCTGGTCCTGTTTTTCGCTGTGCTTGTTCCTCGTGCCGCTCTTCGCGCCTCGGTCGGAGGATGGAGTAGCACAAACACACGAGCTACACGCACCCCGGCCTGGCAGCCTCCCCCAACCCGCCGTTCCCAACAAATGAGGAGGAGCAAGTAGGGATACAGGCACTGGGGGCGGAGTCTCAACACACGAGGCGGCACCCTCTGTTGGCAACTTCCTTAGAAACGAACTATGCCCGCGTGTACTTTAGTAACCAGATAATCTAAAAACCTAGGAGGGTGTCCACCCGCATTTTGTTGTCCTCGGTCTTTCTTTGGTGGCGCGAAACAGCAGGTTTGTTCTTCACTGCGACTGCCGCAGCATCGGTGTTCTGTGTGCATTGTTGCCATTTTCATTCCGAGCGGATTGGCACCTCACCCTTCCCCGCCCTTCACAGACCGGTACCGCCGACCTCTGTGGACCCTTGTCTTTCCAGCGGCAAAGTACAGGGTCCAGTGACGACAAAAAGTGGGTGAATCCACCGTCAATGCCCCCTTCCCTTTCCCACGTTTTAGAAATTCATGCAAGCAGCACACGTTCGGAAGCAGACCGTCAGTTGAAAATCATCTTTGATTGCTCTCTCCCTGCTACGGCTGACGTTTTGCCCCATCCCCCTCCCGCGTATTTCGTTTTTTCGGCGCCGTGGATGTATGGGCCCACCTGCTATTGACCCCACCCACGCGGTCGGCTGGCTTGATCTTTGACGGCAGAGAAGCTCACGGGTTCGGCAAGGGTTGTGGAGGGGGGAACGCACCTGACGTGTACAACTTCATGCATGAGGTATTTTCTCCGGCCGCTGCGCTGCAACAGTTTTGGCACACCACGTATCAGAGCGTTCACAGGCCAATGCCCCTATCCGCCGCCCGCGAACGAGTTGGTTGTACGCGTTTTACATCGTTTTTTCCCTGTACGCGCCCACACCATCGGACAACAACAACAACCAACAAGAACAACATGACGACCACAACGTCAAGGTTTTTAGGCTGCTTGTCTGAAGCGTGCACACAACCGGATTTGGCGTGTTGCGGATTCTTTCTAGGTGGGCCTGCCCGATGAAACCTGCAACGCCTACGTTGCGAAGGAGTCCGACACGTGCGATGCTGAAGCCATGTGCAAGAACTGCATGGTTCAGGTAGGAACGAGGGGCTGGGGGGGTGGCAGGAACCGCGAAGCAGTTAGATGCGCACACGTTTTGTTTTTTTTGCAGGTGTTCCGCACGCTCTTCGCCTATCGATCGACCGGGCAAGGGGATCGAAACGTGTAAGCTAAATAGTATGGATGTAGCACAGAAAGTAGGGGAGGGGGGGGGGACGGGAAGGGAATGCCAGAGACGTTTGACGTTCGTGGGGGGCACGTCGGGCTGTGGGTCTCACACCGAACTTTCAGCCTACATAGCCTTGCAGCCGTGCACACGTTGAGGGGTTGAGGGTCTACACCGTTTCCATCTAGACAGCGAGAATGTTGACACCATACAAACGCCTGCTGCTGCTGTTTTCTGCTGCTGTTGTTGTACGTTGTTGTTGTTGTTGTTGTTGTTGTACTTGCTTTCTTAACACGTTTAGAACCGTTCCTATCTCTGCCCGGGAACATTTAACATCCGTACTCGTCCAACTGAGGCGGACGCTTTCCCCGACCACGCACGTTTGTCCCTTAAGACGACGCCACCGCGCTTGCTCTCGCCTTCCTGCTGCTGCCCCCCTCAGGCTGACGGCAGCCACGAGTGCTGGGCCGTGGAGCGACAGAGCCGGTACTACGTGACGGAGTGGGGCACGATAGAGGGGGGGGAGGAGGCCATGATGAGCGAGATCTTTTCTCGCGGACCAATCGGATGCGGTGAGTCTCGCGTTCACCCTTTCAGGTTGCGAAGGATTTTTTTTGCTTTATCCTCTGGCTTCTATGCATCACGGGTCACGCGCAATGGCTGGATAAGGTTCACGCCGACAACGGCATGATCGATGTCACAAACCAGCGCGGTACTTTCGAAGAAAATCAGGTCGGTTCTGAAGTTCAAGCTGAATCGCTGCGCCGTAATTAGTTAATCCAAGACTACAGCTGCCTATGGTGTGACGTGTGGCGCGAGAGCTGCGCTGAGATGGTCGTCGATGGCCGTCAAGGCTCTCATCGCACAATCCTTGTCAGCTCCTGTCCTGCCGGCGCTATTGTTTTCGAACGTTTCACTCCGACGAAATAGTCGTTGGCTTGCTTTAGACCTCCTCCTTTTCGCAAACCCAACCCCCTGTCGTTTTGCGTTTTTTTCTCCTTGTGTGTCTTGTACTTTTGTTCCCAACGCTTTCGCTTCAATCGCTTGATTGTAGCCTTGTTCAGCGACGACGCATTCGACTACGATTATGAGGGAGGAGTTCACACCGCCCAGGTCACCGGGAACCTGACCGTGGCTGACGTCAACCATGACGTGGAGGTGGGACACACACGAACATATCAACCGGTCGACAGCCTCTACAGTCTCGCCCTCGACATGGACCACCGAGGAAAGCCCTCGCTGTCGCTCTTGTTCATTAGAAATGCCTTAAGTAAATTTTTCAGTTCTGACCTACTTTCGTCTTGTCTCCAGTGCTCAGGCGGCGAAAGAGTGTGCACGCCAACGTATGCACATGCGCAGAAGAGCTCATGAGAGGGCACACAATCAACGGCCACGAGCGCGCATTCCGTGGCGAACTAAACCCGCAGGTGACCGGGTGGGGCGTCACGAACGACGGCGTGAAGTTCTGGCAGGCGAGAAACTCGTGGGGGACCTTCTGGGGAGAGCAGGGTTTCTTCAAGATCCAGCGAGGAGTGAACCTGGTGGGTGGGGTACGGGTTTGCACGGTGGGAGGAGTGGACAGGGGCACGCGGTCGCCCGCAACATGCTTTTTAGCGGCTAACAAAAGGAAGGTTGTCCACCGTTACCTCCGCAGTCCTACCGACAGTTCGGGACGGAAATAGGAGGCGGTGGGACATGGGACGCGGGAGGAGAACGTGCTGTGTGCCGCTCCCGTTCGTGTGGTTCCAGGTCGGCCCCCCACCAAAATACACATGCAGCGATGCTGACGAAGGATTCCCAGCCCCCTCCCACGCTACCTCGGCAACCCCGCAGCACCAAACGATACAAGAAAATTTACGCTTGAACCAAAGCGTTGAAGAAAACACCAACCACGTACTCTTACGACTTGAATGATCCGGGAGTCGTCTGCCCACAGGGAGATAGCAACGTGCGACTGACCACACAGAACGGGAGCCACATACGAAACAACAAGCACTCCGCAGGAACGGAAATTCGGTGCACCGACCACTCTCTCCCGAAACGGCAACGGGTAGGGTTCGGGGGGCTAGAAATGTTATTTTTGTATCGTCTTTGTCATGCTCGACAAGCCCCTCCCTCCTTCGTCCTATCGAAAATTGGAAGCACGACCGTTTTCCACCACCAACACGACAAATCGAAATGTGCATGGGACCAGAACTTCATCGAGTCGGAGTGCTACTTTCCAGTCCCTGAATACGGCGACGAGAGCCTCCTGGCCGACGGCGACCTGACCGGGAGTTTGCATGGTCTGGTGCCCAAGGGCGACAAGGCATCCGCGGAGGGGGTCTTCTTCCGACAGCAGCTCGCCAAGCTCGACTGGACTGCTCTCAAGACCCCGCCGATTCTTCTCGCCGCGGATGCTCTCCGTGATGGTGAGCGCGGGGGAGACAAGATCGGTGTGGGTGGTGGCGGCGGCGCCGGTGTTGGCGATGGCGCAATTACTTTAAGTTCGCCGCGGCTAAGCAAGTCTAGTTCCGAAGGCGTTGGCGGGCCAGGAGCAGTCGAGGGGCGGGGCTGGGGAGAGGGTGTATTGGTCGGAGTCGCGGTTGGAGTCCTGGGCAGTGTTTCCGTGGTTACGGTCGCATTTGCCATCAAAAAGGTAGTGCGAGGCGACCCCCCTTACGTTGACATTTCCAATGGCGCCAACTCTTGGTGAGGGTATCCGATGGCGTGTCACTGCCTGAGTTCACCCGTCTTGGGCCGGATTCTAGGTGTTTTAACTTGACCTAGTTTGTACTCCATGAGTCTGAACCAAGCTGTAGGGGTCCGATTTCAGTTACAATTCCGGAGTGAATCCAGTTTGTTTGGATTGCTTGGTACCAGATGTATTGCCCTCTTGCCAGTAAAATCGAATAATAACTCATGGATTGCGTGTTTGTGGGGAATAGACTCCTGTCTCGGACATGGAAGGACCGAAAAGACCCACCCGGTTTCTATTAGTTACACGCCATGTTGAAGGGTGGTGAATGAAGGTACCCGGACGGCTACACACAGTCGTCTCCGTTTCTGCCGGCTCTCGTTTCGTGGTCAAGCGAGGGATATGTTGCGTTTCCCTGTAGCATCTATTCTCTGGCAGAATTGCACGAGGATACCCCAGGGCCCCTGCCGAGCGACCATGCTACTATGAATCGCCGACCACACACCCTTCCGTGTCCAGCTCCTGCGCCTATGAGTCCGCATCTATCTCTCTCGTGACTGTGGGCCTGGACAAAAGGGTGGAAGAACGCTCGCACGTGGTCGCTGTCGTCAAGGTACGTCAGAGGCAGGCTGTGAGTAGGTTAGGACACCAACTGCAACCTGGGAGGGCGAGGTTGTATGAAGGGTGCAGCCCAATGTGTCCGTATCTCGGATAGTGGCGTTATTCCAACCACGACGACGGGCTCCAAGCTTAAGGAAAAAATTGTTCAAGTTCGAACCTGGCGTCCCAACCGCCCCCCCCCTAGGTTGTAGTTGGTGGCCACCAGTGCAGAATTCGCTTCCGTCGTTTACGCAACCTTCGTCTACACGACCTGCGTATGATCTCCTGGAACGTCTTGAAGAATGGGGCGTGTGAGGCATGTTCAACCTGGGACTTGACCCGTGGAACTCTACAGTATGGTGGAACCACCCGCCGGATAATGAAGCACACTAACTGCTGTCGGGTTGCCCCTTCCGCTGTAAGATACCATGGTTCCATCTGCAAATACGTGTTTCTACGACACCCGCCGGTCTGTGATAATTCGAGTGGAAACAGTCACTCCTCGTTTTTTCTTCGTAGCCACTCCTATTGAAGCCTTTGGTGGTGCCTGTAACCTGCCACCAGAGACCGGCTAATGTATTTCCCTTCGGGGAGATATTCATGGAATGTGTGACGAGGAAAATGCATGACATTGTGTGTGTGGACAGCAGTTGTGCGTGTCGGGGATTCATTTTCCCAACCTCGCAAATGTCCAGGTTATCTTACTGTATGCATAGCATACAGCAGTAGAAGGGCTCTCGGAGCGGCGACCTGCAGTATGAATATCACACATGCTCTTGCGTTGCGTTCGTTCGTGCGCGTTCATTTCATATGCTGCCGTGGGGTCAAGGAAACAAATACATACCGTAACCTCCACATGAGCTTCAAGTAATACTGATTTTTTTCTTGTGTTGAGTCGGTCGGCACTGCTGCTGCAGTTTGCCCGGACATTTCGATCTACGATCTACTGTACGATCTACAATGTATACGATCTCCGATGGATTCGCGGCGGCGCGCAAACGACATCGGTACAAGTAGAACCTTCGGGAAAAAAAATCCCGTACAAACCGACCTGTAGACAGCATGGCATATCTTTGGTACATCATGCTGGCAGGTACATTCACCCTGCCTCTGGCTGCAAGGTCGTGACTGAATGGATAGATGCATTTTCGCTGCGGTCAATTTTGCCAACAGCAAACAACCACTCAAGAAAAAATTGATCTCCACCATACACGTATCAATCGTATCAATCGTTGTTGAAGCACGTCACACCGCAAATCTGCTGTTATCTCCTACTCTTCCCACACGGCTCGGGCCCCTCTATTGCCAACAGACCCGGGGCTTCCGCCGTTCTTAACCCTAGCCACGCCCCCGCGGCGTAGGTTTGAAAGTACAGCAACTTGTCGCTCTTACCCTCTTCGTGGCACAGGCGTATGTAAGGAAAATCGTTTGGGCAGGTAGTGGGGCAGGCGCTGAACCGAAGAACGAAAAGAAGGTGCATCGCGAATGAATCTCTTTTTTTCTCCCGCGCTGGCTCTCGCCCCAATTCATTTCCCCGACAACAACGAAAAACACAACACGAGCAAGAGCTCCAAATACGTACTTCGTATATCCCAGAAGGAGAACGTCGAGGACGTCGGACGAGCGCCAGAGACTGCGGGGGAGCCCGAAGCGACACAGAAAATAGAGGGAGTGAAGGAGAAGGAGGCAGGACCAGAGACCAGAGAGCGACAGGTACAGCAAAGTACTGAGTATTATAGCATGTTCAAGGAGATCTTCGGAAACAAAACATCGACACCAACTTTCAACTTTTCACGTTCTTGTACGTTTCCCTGGCCTGACACCGACACCTTTGACAGCCAGTGGGCCTCTCAGCTCCAGCGCATGTCTCGTTGTGGTTGCAGGTACAGACAGTACAGTGTGTGTAGTTCGTGTGTTGATCATGTGCGTGCGCGTTTTCCCCACCTCTCCGGCGCCGCTTCAAACGCATGCACGCCCGTGACTCTTTTTGACATTTGGCGACCTCATTGGCAAGTACTTCCATCAACCATGGCCTGTTCCCACTTCAAGTATTAGCTACCACAGTGTAGATACAAGTGTTTTTTCCCTCTCTAATCGCCTGTGTTGTGCAGATTCTCCTTCAACATGTGAATATGTGCCCTTGCGCGAAGGTCTCCCAAGGTGCCGTGTGTACCCTGTTTGTCTTTTGTCATGACCCGCCCCGATATCGGGCAACAGCAACGCAAAGGGTGAGCGATATTAGATGTTTTTTGTACATGGCCGACCTTCGCATGCGGCTGAACCAAACAAAAGGGTATCTCCACCTCTTTCTCCACTGCTACCGTGGTCTTCACAAGAAATAAATTACTACCGGAAGTATTCGCAAAGCTCGAATCTGCGCATGGCGGGGGGGGCGATAGCATTTGCGCTCGTTGCAGGATGTCATCGTCTCGGAGCTGAGGTGCGACACTATTGCATTGAGGCTACGTCCATTTAATTCATCGTTCCGAACGCTCACAGTTATTTTGAGCGCCTTGCCAACTGCTGTGGCGGCGGATAGATATTACATCTGATGTGATACTGGGAATCTCTAGGCATGTTGTCATCAAGAAGGTCAAAGGGTGATGAAAGGTGAAAACAGCAGTACCAGTAGGCCGCAAATCAGCCCACAGCCGTCAGCGGAGGTTGCTGTATGTGTCAGCCTAAGACGCGGCGCAAGAGGGCGCAAGGGGTAGGTCACCTGAAAGTGAAAGCCCATGCCAGGGCGGGAAAATGCTACATAGGTACCAGAACAGGCTGCACCCACCCGCAGGAACATTCCCAGGACATGGAGACCATGTCAGCTTGAGGGCGTTCTATTACAATAGACCAGACAGGGAACAGGGAACTCGGAATTCCCTGTTCCCTGTTCTGTCGTTGTGTCCTTTCATACATAGTCTACACCGCATTTCCCGCAACACGCAACATTTCAGCGCGCGTGTCTGGCGCGCGTGCGTCGGGCAGGTAGGTCCTCATCGGCAACAAATACAACCACTAGATGCAAAAAGACGAGTGTGGGGTAGGGGAAGCAGGAGGTGGTGTAGGTTTTGAAGGAACCTGTTGGCGAGGGCATATCAAAGGCATGTGCTAGGTATCGGCTGGAACAGGTGGTGGTGCTCATTATGCAATCCGCACTTTCGAGAGTGCTCTGGAAGACTTGCTTTTTGAGTTATAATGGTTGTGGTCGTCGGCAGGTTGCCGTGTCTTCGACACTTTCGCTTCCCCCATACTGGATGGGGGGCGGGGTAATGAGCCGCGGGTACGACTCAATGCCTTGGAGTAGTCCATCTGCGATGCTGTGCAAGGTGCGAGACACGCTCTGCGTTCCATAGCAACGCAGCAGCACACGCAATTCATTACTTACTTTGCGGAACAGTCAATATTCGAAAAACGCCATGAATGGATGGCGCTGGGCACCAAAAAGGCTCTTCTTTTTTGCCCCTTGGGCACAGCAATTTTGTTTCCGGGTGACCCCTCCCTGACACACGAAAGCAACAGGAATAATAAAGGTATCCGCCACGAGCTGTGTCCATAGTCCGTCTTGTGTGGAGACTATCACTGACGAGGAGGCTGTAGTACTCTCAGAAACGCGAGCGTTTGCCACACACTGCAACAAAACGCCGCGCCTGTCTGTCTCTGCTGGGATAATCAGAATACGTTGTTGGTAGTTTTGCCCCAGGCGCGACGGTCTCGTTTTCCGATGATCCTTCTCCCCACACACCAACGCAACAGCAGTGGCGATGATGTCCGCCACGAGCTGTGCATGTGGCTCCCTTCCCACGCCATTGCGGTCTTCCCCCCCCCGCGGTGTTGCGTGTTTAGCTTACGGAGTGCTTCCTCTGTGTCCCCCGGGCTGGAAACCGAGCAACTAACTGCTGCTGTGCGAGTACAATAGGAGATCTTCGCTTTTGTGTTCCTTTACCTCTCTCTCTCGTCGAACTCCGGGAACGTTTCGATGATTTTTGTGTCAAGGACGACCATCTGTTGTCAGAGCGCGATGAAACCGGTGTGACGAAGAGTGCCCAAATTAGATTCCTCCTCACAACCCAGCACATCGTAAATCGGTACTCTAGACTAAGACCCCGTTCTCGTCAAACAAAGGGACAATATTTTGACGTACCATTCCCCGGGGGGTGCGGAAGGGTCGCTCTACGGCGGCGCGAAGGCTGAAAGAGCCCGACATCTAGAACTTTTTTTTCACTCCTGAGGATGAAGGGAAAAATGTCGCGCTTCGCGCTCCGCGGCTCAATACATCCGCCACACAGGAATCCGCCGCCGTTTTTTTGCATGGAAGACACCTGATGGTGGTGGCAATGCCTATACGGCTTGAACTGGTAGCATGCAGCACCTGTGCAGCCACATGCCCGAGAGCGATCGCACACTTCCCACCACGTCCTCAATTGCCACCGAAGAGCCCCGGTTGGCTAATTTTTTAAGGAACTTGTTCCTTAAAATTATTGTGCGGCGCAACTATGTACCTCAAACCGGGAACGTGTGTGGCATTTCTTGTTCCAGGAAAGCTATTTTGTGTGGCTGGCCAATAAGAAAATAATTCCGAGTTCTATGGTCCCTGGTCCCTGTCCAGAAAAGAGACGTTAAGACACGCCCTGAGAGGTCTCTAACCTCAACCGCTCCATAGCTGACGACGTGTTTTTCACCCGAAGAGCCTAGCGAACCTCTCAACAACCCCCGAAAGAGTATTTTCACGAATCATTCTGAATATGTACAGTATGTAAAGTCTTTCGATCCCCTACGGAGTGTGTTTTGATGTGCGCTTGGGCACGGCCTTAATGTGCGCGGAACGCATACATGATAGAGAACACAATAGTTCGGATGTACCTTACAATTGTTAAATCGTGTTATCTTGTCACACCAGTAGTACGCAGAGTAGGAGTGCGGAGAGCGCGAAGGCTGCGTATCCCCCCACACGTCATTCTTGGGTTGGTCCAGAGAGAATGAGGCAGGCAGCCGTGTGAAAAGGGGTGGTACTGACGATGGCAACATCTATCATCATTGAGAGTCCACGCAATTCTTCCGTGCCGGTAATTTCCATCATTCATTGTAGGCGGAAGGTTGAGAGCCACGGCCATTCATCCATTCATTCGTTTTCATTTTTTGGGGGGCTTCTCAGGAATACTAGTAGGTTGCGGGAGCACGTACTTCATGGAGGAAGCACAGGATCTGAACAAAGTATCGTTTGGAAATGTCTGGGGTGCTACTTCCACTAGCACGCCCGAAGGTCAACATAATTGTGGGACGATCGACGATCGTTGATGGTTTTTGTGTCATGCTGGCACCGGGTGGTTTGACCGGTTATTCACTCGGCAGAATATTGCTAAGGAACCGGATCATCATGACAATAGTGATTTGATTGCCACAATTCATTTCATTCCATCTTGCCTTTGTATCCTCAGACGGGTTGCTTGCGTGGCGTTTCTGTACTCTACATGTAGCGAGTATCCGAATCCCACCTGAACGCCATTCCTATTCCAACTGCATCGCAGGTGAAAATAAACCCTGTTGAGTATCAAGCCGAGTCATCATGGTGCAGTACAGGCCGGAGACCAACAACGAGGCAAAGCTCAGAGATGTTCGTGCTGCGGAAGAGATGCACCACGTCCAGCATCAGGGGAGCCTTCAGGCGAATCGGACGGCCCAGGCTGCTGACACCAGAAGTGCAACGCAAAGTGAGTGTGTACCGTCCAAGGAGACTCTACGGATGTAGTCAAATCAGACAGTCACGTCGGGCTAGTTCGCCTCATGTGACAAAGGCACCACACACACAATCTCGAGGGGCAGACTCGTTGGACGGTGGTCTTGTTGAACGTAGTCGGCGATTGGTTCTTGGTTTCGATTCTGCAAGCGTTTTCCCACTTGGACGACAATGATTTCATTCGACACGCTCGTCTGACATTCGATGAAGTACGCAATATGATCTCGCATCACGTCTGAGGACCGACTGCATTCAGATTGTTGCGTACATCTGCGGGGCTACCAGATCGGCCTTTCACGTCAAATGCCGTAGCTCGCCGATATTCTTCTGAACACGTACATTCAGCAAGAACGCCACGCTGCGCCTTGTTGTGGTACTCATTTATATGTTGGGAGTTTGTGGCTGGTTCCTCGCTACCGGATTGAGCCCCGTTTCGTTTGTGGCACCTACAGCAGCCGAAACCAAACCATTAGACTAGTCAGTACCTGAGGGTCCCTCAGGATAAACACTTGAGGTGTACATGTTCCCGAGACCCGGAGTACTCTTTCCGAGAGTATTTGATAAGGGTGGGCTCGTCTGAGACCCTAGAAAGATTCTACATGATGTAGGTGATGGGAAGATGAAGCGAAGTTCTTTTGGTGGATAGGAGGGCTGGCAAGGGGAGTTACTCTCCTAGGAGTGAGTTCTTCCGGTCATTCGCACCCACGACAAACGTTGAAGCCGGAGTTACACCATGTAGCTTGGTTTATGCTCGGCTTCTTCAATACGGCACTATTCCAACATCCATGTTTCTTATGGTGATGGTTCAATTTCACCGCATGACGCGAAGTTTCTGATTGAACGCGAAGGCTTACCAACCCAACTCTCCGAAAAAATGCACTCCAGACATCCTTACCCAGGCGGCCAACACGGACATGCACATGTCCATGCACCATGACCGCATCAAGAGCACCAAGGTCGAGCAGCTGGAGAAGAAGAGGAAGAAGCTGGAGAAGGATGAAGAGAAGTACCGGGGGCTCGTGAATGCGGCATGGATAGCGTTCCCGGTGACGATGGTTGTGTACGTCTTGACCTGCTGCTCGTGCTGCCTTCCCGAGCTCATGAAGGTGTAAACGCCGGGGTTGGTTCTTGCTTGTTTCATAAACACCACAGGCAGGCAGGTTGCGGGGTATGGATTCACTCGCACTTATGTTGGGTTTAACGTTGTTCTTGTTGAGGTTCTATTGCTCGAAAATCCCATTGCGCGCAAAAAGTCCTCTTCTGGTGTGGCTCAAGCCTTGGCGTACACCCGGCACCAGCTGATGCTGTCGATTGCTTTGCTCGTTCCTCGAATGCTTTCAATTTTCATCGAGATATCGGCGAAAGAGTGAAATTTCCGATCCACTGTCACCCTCGCAGTCTCTAGATAGTACCAACTCTTACGGTTCAGTCTGTCGCAGTCATCAGCGCTTCTACTTGAACGGCCACTGACCTCCTGCAAAGCGAAACATATGATGAGTACAAGTACATTGTTTCCGTGTGTTGCCAAACTTCGCATGCGAAAAATACAGTAGTGAAACAGTATGCTGCCCGGGGCTTCGTACAGTAGATAGATCAGTGCTGCTGTGCACCCGCTCGTTGTATGACTTGTTGCCCCCAAACCCATCCATTTTGAGATTTGCATGTACCATCGGGGAAAGAGCGTCATTCTCGCTGACGCTGTGAATTCAATATGTAGCTTCAACTCGATCCGGCTCGTTTCTGTGTGAATAGTTCACTCTCTCTGTTATTTTGGTTCTTGTTTGTGCCAACGCCTTTCGCTCACCCTTTTGGCAGGAAAAGAAGAGGAACGCCCAGCGAAAGATCAACGTGGTGGACGCCGAGCTCCTGGCCCTCACCAACGTCAACGTCCGCAGAAACTTTGCAATCTCCGACTCTGTCAGCGCTACGAACGAAGACCACCGTTTCACCGGGACAGCTGACCCCCACGTGGAATCGGTGTACGCCGCGCACCCCCCGGTGTCGACGATCACTACCACCGCCGCGCGCGCCCCGGTGTCAACGATCACTACCACCGCTACTTGTCCGTCTGCCCCGCCGGACTATCACGAGTATATGAGTAGTGTCAAGCAGGTTCACGTCCAGTAAATACACGAGTTCACGGCGCTTCCTTTGCTCCGTGCTTCATTCGGTCGAGGAGAGATATGGTGTGTCAACATCGTCCTGTGCGTGTCTAGCGCAGGGGGGGGCGGAAGGGAGCGTTCGCCTCTTCTGCGCCCCAATACATCGAAACGACCATCAATGGTTGGACCTTACGCATTCGAACAGAGACTGGCTGGACTTGGGCTGCCGCTTGTCGCATGACCCCCACGTCTAGCACGTACACTGCGTAGGTGTCTGCAGTATATTCAATGACGTTTGGTACAGGGTATGTTTCCACGGTCTTTGTGTACATAGTCTACAAGCCTATCCGCGCGTTCAGGTGAACTACACGCGCACCGCTTTTTCTCACTTCTGCACACTTAGCTTGATTGTTGATGATATTGGTTAGCCAATCACTCGCTCCGTAGCTTGGCTGATTCTTCCGACGAGGTCATGCTGCGACGTTTCCAGCTGAGACTGCATAATTTGTGGGCCCTCGGTCGTAAGGACGATGGAGCCATTTGGTGTCCCAAGGATATCGAGGAGATTAGCTTGCACTCTACGAACGGATGGGGAGTTCAACGGGCGCGTCCCTGTTCCAAGCAAGTGCCATTTATGAACATTCAAGGACTAGTTGCGGGCTTCAGTCGTTTGGAAGGCAGCAACAATATACGGGTCCTAAGTACCCGTGCATGGCAGGAACTACGTGCTAGCCCACTGCTTGTCGAATTCCTCCCTCCGGCCACCGACATGGCCATCGACGGTGGTCAGACCCGCTACGGTACCCATGCACAACGCTGGTCTCTACGAAAGTAGATCAGTCCCTTCGACGCCCTCACCGGCAAGCAATCATTGGAAAAAGACGGGTTACAATGGATTGTTTGACGGGTTCTAGGAAAAACTGGGTCCTAGAACAGCTGCCACGTGGCGACCGCCTCGCGTCAACCTGCTGCTGGCGGGCCCAACTATTCCAGTTCTACTTTGATGCCTGGACAACGTAGTGAGGCCCACGCGCGATATGAAAATCAAATATTACGGATACACTTTGAACTTCTCAAGGCCCAACACCGTGGCGGCGCACAAGGCCGCGTAGGTCACCTATTTTTCTGAAATTGCGGTTATTCCCACCGAAATACACTCAACGACCAACTTTTGTCCGAACAGTACAAACTGGACAAACGTGGGTAGTATCGGACAAAGCGAGTCTGAAAACAGACAATAATCCTCAAGAAGCCTCCATCCAAAGCCTATTCGCCCTAAAAAAGCCTTCACCCACAAGTATTGAGACAGCATTTCTTCTTTGCCATTTGACGTGCTCGGTACATCATAGAACACACGCCGCCCCTCCCCCCACATAAAAAACAACCAACGACGCCTGCACTTTTGAGGGAATTTTGAAAGAAGCCCGAAGACGGCAGAAAAAGAACAACAGCCCTCTCTCGGCGTAATGGGGCTGTTCTTGTTGAGATCTCAAAAGGGCACGTCACGCTCTCCTTCGATGTTCGACGGAAATGCGATCGACATTTCTCTTGTTTTTACAAAGCGAACAACGTGCAAAGGCCTGTCAGTTACCACAGGCGTCGAAAGCAGACTCAGTGGAGCCAACTCTGAACCTCTCATCAACCCGAAATAACCACTACCATCGCATTCGATACGCACACCGTTTCTCGCAACCTCTCCAACCAGCCCGGTAAGCGTTACTTCGCGACCACTTCGGTCTACAGGTGCACGGGCGAGGAAAAGAGGGCTGCGCCTCTACAACCTACACGTCCCCCCGCACAAGTACAATGGCCGCATAATATTATCATTTCTTCTATCGGCGGCAACGTTTCATCCTCCTCGCCACTTTTCACGGATGCGCTCCCGCGGAGAAACGAAATGAGAAAGCGCCACCGATCCTCGCGCGTGCCTATGAGAAATATTTCTTCTTGATTATCGCCAAGATCACCCCACCGACCACCGTTGAAACCACGCTAATGATGACCTCCGTCATCATGTCTGTGCCGCCATCATCTGTGGAGGGCAATCGAGAAGAAGCGACGGACTTGTGGTCAGACAAACTGATCGAGATACGCTGGGGAACTCCAAGATGACAAGGTTTCAGTCTGTCGACTGGATTAGATTTCAATACCTATTGACCACGAGCGAATACTGATTGTCTCTATGACACAAGGTGACTCACCTTCAGAGCGGCGCAGTGCACTCGTTTCCTCCTACAAAATACTGGGGGTGTTTGCGTGCGGCCCTTCTTCCAGTTTTCTTCTAGACCTATTATTGGCCGGGGGGGTTTGTTCCCGAGTGATGGGAGGTACTACTTGCTTGGTTTTTGCGTCGTACTTTGGGATGATAGCTTGCGAAAGGGAAATATTTCTCTTCGTATTGAAGCGGACGGAAGGTAATGTGACGGGTGCTTGAAACTCAAGACCAAAACAGAAACTAATCGACCGAAACAGGAGACTTCAGTCCGCTGCCCTTCACCTAAATTCCATGAGCGTGAGACGCCCCAATAACTCATTGTTATACCATCGTCATGTGCTAGCCCACTGGGTCAATCGGTGATGAATGAACCACCTACCCAAAGTTGGCGCCATGAACGGTGACGGCCTAGAAAACCTCGTGAGTTTCTAGAACAATGAGGAGACGAGGGGAATGTATTTCTCTTCACGCGAGTCAAACATGGTCCCCATCAGGCTGCCTTGACCAAGCGTTGTTGTCGAGAGAGTCCGGCAAGCGAGTACTTGCTTTATTGACCGAGAACTCAACCTTTTTTTAATACGCCCACTGAAGCGTGCCTACGCGAGCTGCTACCTACTTGTAGTACGTGTGTATTTGGTGCATGTGGCAGGCTGTCCAGCAGCAGACGACTGCGACATCGGGCGGGGAGAAGTCAAACAACGACAACAAAAGATTATTCTTCCGCGTACCTCCGGAGTCGGCCTCCTCTGGTGACACTGGCGAGGAAGATGGCGGTTCGGCTTGTGTTGATGGGGTAGACACTGCCACGAGGGGGGAAACATTTGGGGGGTTAAGCTCAGGAAAAGAAAATATTGCACTTGTGGACACGGTTAGGGGATGATCGAAACGCTCGCGGTATGGCACGGATGTATCGCACAATATTTAACGCGGACGTTCAACCAGGGGAAGGAGGTATGGGGGTGCAGACCATTGGGGATGGCTTCGCCAGGCATGCCCGGGAGACTGGCACCGAAGGGATGGTTTGACATCATTGTCTGTGCACGCCATGACACAATTCATGCCTTGTTGTGGGGATGCCTGAGCCCGTTGTTGATCGTGCGTGTGCATGTCCACTGAGAATGTTGTCCATCGGTGATAGTACGTCGACACTTGTAGGTATGATGCGCCCCCCGGTCGACTTCAGTGGAGTAGCCCGAGCTACGGAATCAACGACAGCCTGCCTTCGGGTGTGGGCGGTGACGTGGGTGCTAGAGGAGGGGGGTTGGGGTAATCGACTTGAGCCGATGAGGTAGGCTCGGTATTCTTGGAAAGAGGCGAAATGGACACGCGGTCATCAAGCGCAGGCCGGCGAAAACAACGGCCCGACAAAGCACGGAGAGGCATATATAGCGCGAACAAGATCATCAATACCCTTGATGATTGGTTCAAGGGAGAAAAGGGGGTGCGCGTATTCGAAAACAGGCTTCGCAAGGAAGAAACAGCCTTGATGGATACGATAGAACTCGCGCATGGAGTTGGTCATCGTTAGCGTGGGAACACCTGATACACTCGAGGGACGACAGAGTAAAACGTTGGTTTTGAAATATGCCAGAAACCTGGTGCATGTAGAGCGAGTCATCGTGACACAGGAGGTGACGTGCTCAGCAACAAACTCCTTGATTATACGACGCACAAGCTCAAAGTTCGTCGGGAGATATACCATTCAGCTGACTGTGTGTCGAGGAAAACGTGTATTTACCCGTTAAGCTACACGCCATAATCGTGTTCTAGCCATACCGCGGGTAGCCACGTGGGGCTCTTCAGAATGTTGTAGTGTATGAGGTACTCTAGCATTGTGTCAATGAGCGAACTACAGCCAGCCGGCAATAAAGCAAGGGGACTAGAACAACGACAAACCGCAAAGAGAGGCTGTGTGAGACCCGGCGCGCAAAAACTTACAGAATGGTGTTTGTCAATGCACCCAGGTGCTTGTTCGGTATAGGTTTAGCCCAGTCCCCTGTTCTATGTTACTTCTAGTATTCCTTCGGCCGAGCGGGTGGGACTACAGTATATACAACAAAACACCGAGTCTAGTCTATTCCGTTGTCGTTTTATTCGATAGTCTCTTCCGGCGTCCCAAAAAACAAAATTTCCGTACCCCGGAACTACGTACAAGGATGTGAATTATCCGGGCATGATCCGCGCTTACCGCAGGGTATCCAGTAATGCGAAGTTGGTATTCGTGGACGAACAAGACTCTGTTCTGAGCGCGTCCTTCGACAATATAGTCAAGCGAACATTACATGCTGCCCTCGACACCTCTAACAACCATACTTGGAAGTATTAACGTATGTCGCCCGTCCAACAAAATCGACGACCTCGTTGCAGCCACCACCAATATCACGTATCAAAGACACAATCGTCATCAGCACCCCCGTAAGCGCCACTCACCGTCGCCACTCACCGTCATCGGTCAATATTATACCCCTGTCTTCGGTGCCGGAAGGGGGCCAGTAGACATCGTCGGAAGGGGGCCAGTCGTCGTCGTCGGAAGGGGGCCAGTCGTCATCGTCGGAAGGGGGCCAGTCGTCATCGTCGGCAGCAGTTGGGAAAACGCTGTCGTCGGTGGAGACGGTAGAAGGTGATAAACCGCTGGAGTCGTCTGTAGGCCACGCGAAAGTCCCGATGGTTTCACCGAACATCTCTCCTGCCTCTCTCAGGGTTCCGTCCAAGTCACAGTTACTAGACGTCGTGAGCGTGAACCCTGCCGACGGGCAGCTTAATTGCTCCAACGCAGGGGTTTCGTACGGTTCATCCACGCAAGCCATCGCACCGTCATCGACCACGGCGGCAACACAAACGCTCGCATCAAAGCCCACGGCTTCCACGTCGGCAATGTAGCATGCAATTCTGGTCCACGTGGGGTATTCGCTCATGTACGAGGAAGCAAAGGAGTTGGCGCTGCCGCATACGGAGCAACTGCAATCGCTGGAGCCGTCTGTGCCCGAAGTTGCAGCCCACAGGCAGCTTGAGGCGTCGGCGCTGCCGCAACCCACCCAGGTTGCCAGGGTGTCACCTGTGTTTACTTCGCACCCGACGCTGCCATCACACGTATCACGCTCATTCCACTCCACCAGCGTGTCCGTGTCAAAAGGATCCAATCCCATCAGCGTGCACCCTACCAGACATTCCGAGGCGTTGCTGATGACGATGTTGGTGGACCCAACCAAGAGCGAGACCCCGATCGTCCACAACGAAGCCCTCAGGCAAGGCGCGTCATCTGTATCAATATTTGAATGGTGTGGAAGAGCCATGCGGCGAGAAACACACTATTTACATCAGCGGCTTTAGTGGTGGAACAATACCTTCTTTTCACAGAAATAGAGTTTCCTGGGGGTGCAGGATGCTTAAATGGTTCGTTTTTCCGTCCTGGGAAAAGGTAGGGGTGAAGGAAAAACAATTTATCGGACGACCATCCCATACCCCGGAAATTCAAGTACCTTCTCGGTCAAATTTTCGCATAACGTTTAGAAATGCTGCTTCTATTTGGTGCTCCCCGTTTGGCGTGAAGCACACAAACAATTTGTTGTTGTGCTTTTTTTATTTGAAGCCGTGATGGAGTTGAGCGCCATCCTGCTGTAAGCACCAATGACTGCAAGTCCGCCTGCGAGGCGTCCCATCGTAACCAATCTAGCTACAATGCCAGCGCACCAACCTACAACTTATATCCACCGAGCGTCAAGCTAGCATCGGTCGTGTCGGTTTGCGGTACGGGTTATGGTTAGCGTTAGGGTTTTAACAATGTTTCATGCGCCAGCCAAGGCACCGGAACTTCGTTGGTCATGACCGAAGCATGACCGAAGCATGACCGAGATCGATCATGATCCAGGTCATGACCCCATCTCGATGAATCGATCACGCCCCGGTCATGACTTCGTCATGGCCCGATCATGGCCAGGTCACGGCACCGGATCATGACCGGGTCATGACCGAGCTATGATCCGATCGGGACCGAGTCATGAGCGGGTAATGACAGAGTAATCGAGATGGAGTCATGGCCTCAGGCCAGCTCATGACACGGGCGTGACTCTGTCATGGCCACTGCAATTCTGATGCTCACAAACAACATATATTTACAACTGATGATCTGCTTTGGCAGGCGCTTCCCTAACGCTACCTACCCCTAACCCACAACCCACACGACAGGTGCTACTGTAGGTTGGCGCTGGATGGATACGTTTTACAGGTTGGTCTGCTGGCATTGCCGCTGGGTTGGTGAAAATGGGATAATGCTGGGTGGGTGTGCGGGCATTGTGCTACATGTACATCGACGTTGATCATCAAGTCATGGTTGGGTCACGATGGGGTGATGCAAGGGTTCACGTGAAAAAAATTCCGGACACATAGGCCACCCCCCTCCGCCCCCCCCCCCCCCGGGAGGGCATTTTCGATGTCTGTTTTATATAGCAAATAGCATAGGCTTCGTTCACGAACACAAGTCATTGACCCCCCTACTGCAGAGTTTTTTCTATCCACGGTGCCCCTTACGCAAACATATACTAGAAGTAGAAAATAGAGTCCCCTCCCCCCCGATGTTTTCCATCGGGGTTGGGTTTTCATCGCTTGGCAACGACATTATCAAACATGCCGCCCCCCCCGGTGTTTCCTTTCGTCCCCGGTGGTTGCCATCGGGGTTGGGTTTTCGTCGCTTGGAAACGACGTTGTAAAACATGCCGCCCCCCCCCCGGTGTTTGCCATCGGGGTTGGGTTTTCGTCGCTTGGCAACGACGTTGTAAAACAAGCCCCCCACTCGGTGTTTGCCATCGGGATTGGGTTTTCGTCGATTGGCAACGACGTTGTAAAACAAGCCAATCCACTTCGTGAACTCGGCAACCAGGATACCGTTTTTTTTTTTTACCTCTGTTTTTTTATTGGCGGTAACCATAATGAATGGTGGTCGAGTAGATCATGTTGTGCGGGGTGGAGAATCCTCACTTCACGCAAGGGAGATGATCGCACCACGTTGTGTTAAAATGGTCAAGCATCCTCGAGGCAGCTAGACAGTGCTTACAACTGTCTCTGGAAGTGAAAGCACCAGAAAATAAATTAAGTCACACGCAGCTGTCATCCGTACGCAAGCAAGTAAGCACAAGATGCTGAACACCCTTAGCAGGATGCAGCGCACCCTTCATGCGACTCGCCGAATACCTCACGGCGCTTCGCGCTTGGTGATGTGAGAGCCTGGTCCGGTGAGAACCCGGCGTGCTCCGTCCCGGCTTTGTAGGGATGCGAGGTCAATGTACGGCATGCACGACTAAGAGTACATCCCCCCCCCCCCCCCGGGGTTGCCCTCCGGGTTGGGTTTTCCTCCCTTGGCAGCGATGTTTAAAAAAAAACCCAACACATCCTGAGCTCGGCAACCAGGGTACCGTTTTTTTTTTCCCCCTTTTTGTTTTTTTATGCGGAAACCATGACTGGGGGTCCAATAAATTTTGTTGTACGGGTCGAGTAAAATAATTGCACCACGTTGTGTAAAATTGGCCAAGCACCCTCCAGGCAGTTACACAGTCCTTACAACTGTATCTGGAAGTGAAAGCCCCAGAAAATTTAAGTCATAGGCAGTTTTCACCCGTAGAAAAGAAAGTAACCATTAGATGCCGAACACGTTTACCAGGATGCAGCCCATTTTTCATGGGATTCGCCGAACCCCTCAGGGCGTTTCGCGTTTGGTGATGGGAGAGCCTGTTCCGGTGAGAACGGGGCTTATTCCGGCATGCAGGATTAGGAGTCCCCCCCCCCCCCCCCCAACGGACCCCGATTTTCGATAGTAGGCTTATGTGTCTTGAATTTGTTTTCACGAAGACCCCTTGGGTGATGACATGAGCATGTCTCGGTCATGCATGGTGCACTCATCGTGAACCTGTCATGACACAATCACGACTTGGTGATGACACAAATTCCTGTCACAGTGAGAAACAAAACACCAAGGCCTAGCGCCAAGGTGTGTCATGGAAGTAGTCTCATGGTGCCATGATATGCGATCATTTTGATGGTGCCTCATGGTGCCTCACGGGCTCAATTTTTTCCTGTGCATTTATCTACAGAAGTACTTGCATGTATGTACTGCTGTAAGCCCAATGTGAAGACAGCCAGACCCAATAGTTGTATGTCTCCCGTTCCCGAAAAGGCTCGTCATCCACCCGCTGTCTGCTACCCACCACTCCAGAAGGCCTGATGAATCAGCCCATCTCCGCTCACGGCCGCACCAAGTGTTCTCGGAAGTTCGGCATGATGGTTGGATGCGGGCCAATAGGCCGCAGCCAGCGATGAGGAAGATCACATGCAATGTCTCTCGCCAACGCTCTTGTGGCTGGAGCTTGATGTGACCCGAGCAACACAACCCTACATGTACTATTCGGCAGAGATCATCCCGATCGCGCCTACCTTCTAGGAGACACACCTTCGCTCAGAAGCTTAAGGTTCCTCTGCCGCCTCCGCTCTCTGCTCCAAAGGTCTGCGCATCGGCACGGCGAGCGCCTTACGGTGATATGCTTCCTATGACCTGCCGTTATTACGCAATGAAGACAACGCTGCTGTGGCATGCAGAATGGGCTGTTTTCTGTGTGTTCTTACATTTTGGTGGGGCTGGAGGCATCCTCTTCTTGTTTCGCCCTGACAGCTGTGGTGAGATGGGATCGACGAAGAAAAGGGCGGCCAGTTGCCGCCTGCCGATATGAGAAACGTGACAATCATCAACAGTTTCACAGGTTGTGGGTGCCCAGAGAACAAACGCGCTCCAGTTTGTTGCCCGTTTGTCCCTCCGCAGAATTTTTCATTTGGTTCTCTTCGAACAACCAACCACAAAACGATGCCGCAGTCAGTTGCGGTGTCGCAGTTTGCTGGTCGGAGATCGAAGATGGATACGTAGAAACGGAGATGGCCAGCCCGATGTCGCTCTCCCACACTACTGACAGGGTTGCATGGGCGTCCCATGGGCGTTTTAGAAGAACTGTAGAAAGTGTGGGAGACCCTGTCGGGGGGGGGGGGGAGCCTTACAAGTTCGTCTGAGGTGTAATCTACGTCGGTAGGTATACCTGAGCAAGTCTCCTGTATGTAGAATGTCATCCTCCCTCTCAGCCGAACGCCGACTGCCTACTTGTCTTCCACCAAGACCTTGCAAAGCAAAGCCACGAGGCCACGACACGACAGACGGACGCGTGGCATGGAGTATTGCATGTAGTCGACGAGGTAGGTATGTACGTCAGCAAGCAACCGATGGAGCTGGAGGGGCGAATGAGGCAGCTGCGGCGTCGGGAAAAGCTCCGGAATCATGGAAGCCCCGCCATGTTGCGCGTGTGAAACGCGTGCAGGGTTCTAGTGTGCCTGCGGTCAACACTACCTACGGTCGGCGCGGTTTTGACATCAACCCCGAAAATCCGATGCCCCATATTCCTCCGGAATGGTACTACGAGTTCACTTGCGCTCTTCTGCCAACAACGAATGTTTCGGTGTTTGTCTCTCTTTGCCACAACACAGTAGTCGCGCCCCTCTCGCCACGCGTTTCCGGTCCCTGCACCGGGAATATTGAAAGTGACGTGTACGCGCATGTGCACGGAACCTGTCTGCGAAACATGACACCCAACACCTTTCTCCAACTGCCGTCATTGAAAGCGACCTATCCATATGGACCTTCTATAAACTGACACCCATAGACTACTAGGGTTAAGGATTGGCCCCCCGCCCCGCAATGGGGCTGGGGGCCAACATCCAGGACAGATGGTGGTGAGTGTCCGGGAGGAAGGAAAGAAGAAGAAGGGGAGAGGATTTGTAGGGGCGGGAAGAAGGGTCGGTGCTGGGAGAGGCAAGGAAGTGGTGAAGAATTTCGGCACTCGACGAGCGCGCGCGGTCCCGTCGGGGGTGAAAGGGACATGTCAGTCCGTAGTCTTGTCTATCGGAATCGAAAAGCCGAAAAATCGAGGGATACATAATGTACATCAAGATGGAGAAGGCCGACGAGGAAGGTACGAAGAGAGGAAATTGCACACCACGTTCGAAGTCGGTGTGAAAACCGCGGCAAGGAAGGAGTGCGAAGGAAAAAAAAAAGAAGGAGACGTCGACGTTTGCGTCGTGGAACGATCCTTCCGTAAACTCACCAATGCAAGACGGG